GGGGACGGGTGACGGGGGGGTCCCCCCAGCGGGTTTGTCACCCATTGCCATCCCTACTCCAGACACACCTGATTATATCGAGCAACATATTTCCGTAAGGATTCTTTCTCGCCTTGTCTCATTTCCATCAGTGTGAGGTAAGTCTTCTCCTGGGCGACCGCACTTGAGTATTGATTAGTAAGTTGTCCTGCGAAGTCCTCAAAGTCTCTGATCGAACCTGGAGTCAATTGGTAGAACCAGTCAAGCGCACCTCCTCGTAAGGTCGACAAGAAGGCCCTGCAGCTGACCGGATCTGAGTATCCATGTAAGACGGACATGTTTTCTGTTATCATCCGACTCGGTAAAACACCATTAAGAGGGTTTAAATATCTTGTTAAGTGCAATTACCTGTTGAATCGACGTGATCCGAAACCGTACCGACTCACACAAAGAACCGGGCTACATTACCAAAGACCGAAGTGACCAATATCCACCGAGGTCTACTTACACCGAGGTTGTCACCTCGTCACCTCCTCAAGCAGCTGACAAAGCGCCTACGCACAACCATCACGCTCTACGAGATTCGTCATCATTCATGTGGGACCCACTTCTCCAAACCGCCCACCAAAAGCTACTTTATACAAAAAGTAGTACGCAAATCCCAATGTATTCGCCAAATAGTTACTATAAATAGCAACCCTATGATATTTGTAGGGGGATCTCTCTCCGAACTCATAAAAACATCTTCATGCAACACGCAAAAGCCCATCACGGCTCTTCACCTCGGTTCACCTCGGACCGGGGCCATTGTTGAGTTATTTCTACATGCTTTACGCCAAAATCATTCATAATTCTCATCTTAATCACGTGTTACATCGTTGTTAGAAATCACATAACAATAGTTTGGCGCTAGAAGGAGGGCCTCATAAGTGATTTGAGGTCAATCTCTGCTTTTCCAAGCGACGATTCACACCAGCCATATCCACCATATATCCACCATGTCTCACTCAGATCCTCGTGGTCACGCTTCACGAGACGGCCACAGTCGTAGCACCGCGCAGTCTGCCAGACGACAAGCCGTGGCCCCACATGTACCGGATTATGCTGTTCTGTTTCAAAATCCGGAGTTTGCGCGTGGTTTTGCCG